ACCTCAGCTTCTAGTTCTCATAAAAACTATAAATAACTCCACGATTTCTCCTTAGAGAGTTCTCTCTCTTCTGACACTAACTCAACCTCCTACTTAGAAGATAAACCTTCAGCCCCCAGAAACCTGGAGACAGGCGATGTTCCAACACAAGTAAGAGCTTACTACTTGAGTCAGACAGATATAGGCTTAAATCCATCCGTTCTTTAGTCCTATTAATTGTGTGACTGACCTTGGTGGGCAAGGTCCATTTCCTCTGAGTGTCAGTTTTTTAATCTATAAAATGAGATTAAAACCAGCTACCTCTTAGAAGTACTGTGAGAATTAAATCGGATAATATATGGACAGCACTTAACACAGCATCTGGCACATAATCAAATCTTAATAAATGGTGTCTATATGCACATTTAGAAGATTGTTCTGGAAGGGCCCGTGGTGATCAATCAACCCAACCCTCGCATTGTGCAGATGAAGCAGCTGAGGCACTAGGACAATCAATTGCCAACTACACAGATGGGCAGGATCTGGGAAAGAGCCCAGTCTTGGGCTGTCCAGTGAGTGTTCCAAAACAACCATTCAATTATATTTGTTTGCCACCACCTTAACTCCAATAGAAAGTGAATTATAATGACATTCTTTTAAGGTATTCCCGGGAAATTGATTGACTTGTCACATTTTTGCAGGAACCTTTTTCCAGAATATTCTCAGCTTTACACATTGGGAATAGGACTGCAGATAAGTTCTCTGTGAAAACCTTTGCTTTTGGTAAATTAAATCTGCTTTTAAAAACCAGGCTAAAAATAACATTTAAATGCAGGTGACAGGAGAGAGAATTGACTTGGTGGTGGAGTTGATAGTTACTTGAGTCGATGTGGTCAGAGGAGAGCTTACTAGAAAAGTGACGCTTGGGCTGAGGTCTTCATGGTGTGAAGGAAGCAGCCAAGCAAACACATGGGTTGACAGAAGTGTGAGCGCAAAGTCTCTAAGGTTAGAAGAGCATAGTGTACTCCACGAATTGGAAAGTATTTCAATATGACCAGATGATACTGGAAAACAGAGCAAAGTGGGTGGCAGGTGTGGTCCAATGCCACTATAATGTATGAAAACAGTTTGACATAGTGGCCACACGTATCTATGTTGAATAAACAACAACTATCATTAAGTATACCTTTGGAGGGCTAAGCCAGTGTTTCTAAATCAGACACTACTCCCAGCAGACAATAGGCCCTCAATAAAGGGTAGTTGTTACTAGACAATAAAAGTAATTAGTGTAAAAATTGTAACACAGTGCTTGGCACATAGTAAGCATTCAAAAGCACTATTTTTTAAAAGGCAAAGTATCATTATTAATATAATTATGTAAGACATTAATGTAGCAAAGGTTTAACAGATATTTATACGTTCGTTCAGTGAAAAAGCAAACACTCAACATAGTATCCAGCAGACGGAGCAGCGGAAAATCTAAGTATTATCTGGCCTATCTCTAACAATTATTGAGTGTTTCTACAGAGGTAAGATGATTTTTTTTTTTTGGAAAAATAGGAGCTACTATCTAATGAGGAATTATGAGCAGTAAGACCAGAATATGACCTGAATATAGTGTGAATAAAGTTTGTGCCTTTTATTTCATGATAACGGCCAAATCTAACATTTCTTTTTTTTAATTTTTAGAATTTTCATTCTTTGAGAGTTTTTTGATACGAATTTATAGGATACATGTGAAATTGTTACATGTATATAATGTGTACTGATCAAGACAAGGTATTTAGGGCATTCATCTCCCAAGTACAACACATTTTTATTTAACTATAGTGGTCACCCTACTCTGTTATTAAACATCTAATTTATTCCTTCTATCTCACTGTATGTTTATACCCTTCAACCCACTTCTCTTCATCCTCCCCCAACCCTCACACCCACCCTTCCTGGTATCTATTCTCTATCTTTCCACTCTCAACCCCCAGGTGACCAGATTTTTTAGTGAGAATATGTGATGTTTGTCTTTTTGCACCTGGCTTATTCCACTTAATGACCTCCAGTTCCATCCAAGTTGATGAAAATAACATGGTTTCATTAGTCACCCACCCTTCATTTTTTATTAATTGGGAAACATTGCTGGCAAATCACTACACCGAACCCCATTCTTCAAGACACGCCTCAGCTAAGCTCAGACAAAGAGGAACATGGGGAGGGAAACTATTGCTAGTGGAATAGCCAGGAAGTGCTACCCCACGATCCCTGCCACCTCTCTTAATGTTCGCAACTTTTGAAGGCAGGTATTATTGCCACGTGTTATACCTGAGGAAGCCAGCACCCAAAGACATGAAATAACTTGCCTGGAATACACGATTAGTAGGTGACAGGGCAAGAATTTGAGACTGAGCCTTTTGTCTGCTCCAGGTCAGCACCCTGAAAGCCAATCACAGGCTGTGGCACACAGAGGCTCCTAAGGCACCAGCCTCCTATTTCTCACCCAGGAGCCCGGCTGCCAGAGACCACACAGCAAGAGAGAAAGCCTGCTCCTTCTGGTGCCATCAAAAGACAAATCCAGCACGTTTTCAAATTCCACGCTGCATGGTGACAACATTTTCATGACTTTAGCCCTATAGTATTTCAAGGACTCCCCTTCCTCTGCAGAAAACATAGATACTGAACTTCCAAATGCCTCCCTCGAGAGGAAAATAAACCTCTTGCTCTCATTTCTTCCAAAAGAAGCTCCATTTCTTTTGGGAGAAAAGAATCAATCTCTTCCATCAAAAGAATGGATTTAACCAATATCCTTTGCCTTTTTCAGGTTTTCTTTTGCTTAGGCTCTCCCCAAGATACCCTCAATGTGTCCTAAACACTACTACTCCTCCAGCTGGGCTGGAGGTAGCTCCATCCAGCAGACCCTGTCCCGGCAGAGGTAAGCCAGAGATCTCTCACCTAATGAAAGGATGATCCAGCAGCTCCTACAACATCACTTGAGTCTGGATGGAGAGAAGACAGGAAACACAGGATTCCAAAATTATAGCATGAGGCTTTTATTCCAGAGTCCCTCTCATAGGCATGGATGCCTATTTGGGTAGACGTGGTAGTCATCAGAGAAGAATCAGAAAGCTCAGACCCCTTGGGGGCAGGAAAAGCAAAGAGACACAATAAGCCTGGCAACACCTTGTATCTCAGCCTACAATATTTTATTTTCACTCGGTCTCATGAACAGATTTAGAAATACCATTTGCAGCTCTCCTGCAATGTTTCTCAAAGGTCCTTGGAGTTATCTGGGGACAAAAATGCCAATTTTATATATAAAGAAACTGAAGCCAATAAGAAGGTGACTAGCTGAGGGATTTTTGGAAATTTCTTTGGGAAACTGGGAAAGAACCTATATTGGTCTCCACATCATTTTCTCTGAAGTCAGGAACTTGGATTAGCAGCTCAGGACTGCCACCTAAGCTTCAGTTTACTCACCTGTAAAATAAAGCTACTGATAATACCTACCTCACAAGGATATTGTTAGGATTAAATGAGACGACCTTGGTAAAAGGGTGTAGCATAGCAGTCAGGATCCCATCTGGAGACAGAAAGCACCCAGCAATATGAACTGCAAAGGTTTATCACAAAGAACTATTAATGGGAAGTTAGCTAAGAAAAGGGAATTTAAAAAGAGCTCTAAAGAATACTCTAGATCTGAGAGAAAGAACCCAAGAAACAAACTTGGAAGGGGAGACCCTGCTCCCTAGCCTGGGATTCAGACCTCCTTGAAGAAGGCATGACTGCAGCACATGGATGGCAGGGAAACTGTCGGCCAGAACGGGTCAGCAGGCAGCAGGGCAGCAAAGCACAAGAAGGCAACCTCACCTTCTGCTGAGATGCTGCCTGTCAGGGAACCACACACCTGCACTGGCAAGCTGGGATGAGCACCAGCGGGGGTCCATGCATTGCTGGCCACTGCACGCCTCAGGAGCAAGCCAAAAGCAGCACATCAGAACCAGAGAGACGGTCCCCCAGGGTCCCTCCAATGCTCTGCCAGTTGGCAGTGGAGAAATGTTCCAATATGACAAGCAAGGCCACAAACACTGGATTTGGAGCTGAGCAGTAATAAGCTGATAACTGGTACACTGGCCTCATTATCATACATCCCCTATAGAGTCATATTGCCAGAGGATGTGGGCAGTGGGGATGCAGCGTGAGTGCAACTGCTATCTACCTAAACTCTGAATTGGGCTTATCTTCCAAACTTGCAGATGGGCACACACAGTTCGGGAAACAGCATTGAGTGCTACTAGAAAGCTGTGACCTCCTGCTCTACACGCCAGGATCTGTGAGGCTCTCTCTCTGCTAAGCTGTCCACTCAGGGAGAGCCTCCACAACCATTTGAGTCACTAGTTGTTCTTTCATAGGATCCACCCAAATCCAGAGCTGTGTAAGTAACATTGATCATAGACACGGGAGAGCACTGGCAAAAACAAAAATAAAAATAAAATAAATCAGCTAGAATGCAATCTACTTCTGACCCCCATCTTCCTACCCAAGAGCCTCTTGTAGCCACTGTGGATAGCACAGGAAGAGGAGGAGGGGCAACTTGGCACCATCATTCCTGAACACAAGGCAATAGACACTGACTTGCCTTGCAACTGGTGGGATTTGAATCACTCCTAAAGAAAAATGTCCATAATTGGGTGAGGATCACACTGGGTTTGGTAACACCTGCAAAAAGCTGCAAAGCCTTCTTTTTAAAAGAAGATGCTTTCTGACGACTCCAGCCTCATCCAGCTTGTGAGTAGGAGTTTGGCTGGGATCACTGCTTGAGGTACTTTCCTGCTGCCAGCTCCTACGAGGAGGTCACAATGTGTGCCATAGCTCAGGATCAAATAGAAAGAGGGGCTGTGGTGGGAAGACCTCTGAGGGCCTCATTTCCCTTCCCAGCACGTGCCAAGGACAGTCCCCTGCAGCAGCCCCAGGGGTCCTTAGCGGGAAGCTGTTTCAGGCCACACGGGAGACAGCAATAACCCACTATTGTTGGATAAACAGTCCAGGACAAAATAACTGAGAAATGATGACATTCTGAAATAAAGCAGCAGTTCTTGTGTCCAGGAATTTCTCTTTGAGGAAGAAAACAAGGGGCCTCCTACTTGGCCGTGTGACTGGCAGGGGAGAAAGAGCATATTTCAGCTCAGTATGTATAGCTGTGCTCCAGGCTGGGCTGGGCTGCAACAGTTTTTCCATCTACATTTTTGAGGAACTTCCAATTTCTTCTGAATAAACATTTTCCAAATAATCCTGCCTGAAAACTGTCCCTCATCAACTTAGGACACGCTTTTCTTTCTCAAGGTGATGCTACCAGGGACCTGCCAAGACCCGTAGTACCCAACTAGCCTGGAAGAACTTGTCTGAAAACTTTGGTGGAGATTTTCAGAATCACAAGGCTCTAGAACAAGGTGGGGTGGATCTCCCAGAGCTTGTACCTTGTACTTAAAAATGAACGCTCCAACCGGCTTATTTTCCAAACGAGGCATCCAGGGCTTGATGTGGTAATGAACTTGTCTGAGAACACACTGTCAGCTAACAGTAAGTAGTGAATGTGACATTTCTCTCTCCTTTACCTCACCCTGGGCCTTCCTCCAACCCCATATTCCAGATACCTTAAAGTATCCAGAGATGAGTGTCCAGATAATCTTGGTTTTTTTGCATGTCTGTTCTGAGTCCAACCAGTCATGAAAAATGACTTCAGTTGAATAGGACCCTGCAGGAGTAGTGGTTAAGGCTATGGCTAGATTTAGGGCAAGGGCTAGGGTTTGGGCTAGGATGGAGTTTAGGAGAATAATCCAAAAATAAAGTAGCATTCTCCCTAAATGTATCTCAGTTTCCATTTTCATCTGATCTGTCCTAGGTTCCTGGATATTAATAATATGAACCATATTAGCAGATAGACACATAAACTGACCAGTTTTAGAAGGAAGAGTATATAGCTTGATTACTCTACAGTATCATGGTACTAAAACCAGTGTGTATCTATTATCAATTACTATGTAACGAACTACCCCCAACGTGCTTAAAATGCAACCATTTTATTGCATAAACGTCTTGACGGTTAGGAATTTGGGCCACGCTCAACAGGAACAGCTCATCTGTATTGCACATGGTGTTGGCCGAGGCAACTCAGCTGGGGCTGAAGAATCTAAGAAGGTCTCACTCGCACGCCTGGGCCTTGGTGCTGGCTGTTAACTGCAGCGCCTCTCTCTCCACGTGGCCTCCCCCTCCAGCAGAATTGCTTGGACTTCTGTACATGATGGTCGGGATCCAAGAGGGAAAGTGGAGGATGCAAGGCCTCTTTAAGGTCTGGGCACGAAAGCCCCAGAACCTCACTTCCATTACATTCTATTGGACAAAGCAAGTCCCAAGACCAGCTGGAATCAATGTGGGGAGAGAGGCTCTACCACTTAACAGGAGAACAGCAAAGTTATGTTGCAAGGGTTATGGACACAGAGAGGGAAAACTTTGGAGCAGACCAGGGAAGACTTTGGAGTGGACCAATTTTTATCATTGTCTCCATAATGCTTGTTACAGGGAAGGATAGTCTGATATAACAGGGAGAGAAGAGGGACCCGGTGTGGTGGGAGATCTGGGTCTACTCTCTGCCCTTTGCTATCAAGCCTCAAGCAAGTCCCCTCCAGAGCTCCCTATACCATAGGAACTTTCTTCTAATATAGGGATATGGGTGGCTTAGCTGGAAAGAACAAATAAGATACATGAAATAAAAGCACGTTGAAAACTGTGGGCTTTAGTGCAATTCTAAAAATGTTTAATCTATATATTAACACTATTACCTTATTTATACCTTTCCTCTAACAAGCATTCAAGGCAAATGGTGGCTGGCTGGCAGAGGGGCATTAGACAGTCTTGAAAAGAGCTGTCCTGTCCCCCAATCTGAGGCTGCAAACCCAGCTTCACACTTTCTAACATGGTGAATCCCTCACCTTTCCTGACTTTCGGTGTCTTCATCAGTAAAATTACATTTTTGTGAGGAGTAGCGTTTTTGTAACTTTGATTTTTATAAAGATTATCCCAAAATTCCCCAATCAATACTAAACTTATTTTAATCACCACTGTTGTTCAAACGTTCAGATTGTGACTGAAAGAAATCTGAAACTCACAACTTGAACAGTCAAAATTCCTAGAAAAGTACCAGTTTAACCTCTGCAAGAACGGCTTTTTAGACTTAGATTTTATTTGTGAAACAAAACCAAAACTAGAACCTTTCGTGACTGGGAGTGAGAAGTTCCATCTCAAGCAGTTGCCACCTCCCTTTGGCCTCGGGCTGCAGGGTCACCACTGTGGCTCTTCTTTGGGCCTATGAGTTGGGCAGGGACACAGACACCATGCTTTATATAACTTATCCCACCCCAGGAGCTGGTCTTCCCGCCAGCGCCCAGCACTCACAGGGGCCACAGAATCATATCTAGGTATTTAAGCTTAGGTCTGGCAACTCAGGAAAGATGAAATGGAGAGTTCTGCTCCCACCCACCACTCCGCAAATGCTTGACCTGGGTGTAGCTGCTCTGCTGTGCTTTGGTGCAGTTTGCTGATATTCAGTCAGGTTGAAGCAGTCCTCCCAGTTCACACTGTGCTCAAATCCCGCCTCTCCTCCAGCCCCGTTCTCTCTTGCCACTGCTTGGACCTGGCCTCAGGGCTCATGACCAGCACTGGACTTGGTTGCTCACACAAATTGGTGTGGACAGCCCTGAGGATCGGGGTCCTGGGAAAGGGAAAGAGGGCGAGGAGATGACTAATGAAAAAGGAGGGCTCCTGATATGCTTGGCGTCCTCCAGCCAAGCACAGCCTAAGCCTGAACAGAACTGAGGGGATGGACTCTTGAGACAAAGCAGGCCCCAGATGTAGGCAGTTTTTCTCCTGATCTATACTTGAGGATTCTTTAGAAAGCTCACTTTGAAGTTGAGCAGTAGAAAGCCAGAAACTATCACGGTTTCTGAAAAGAGCAATAGGAGTGTGTAATTGATACTTTCATTTAAGCTATGATGAGTTAATGTTAGTTATCCAGCCTGGGCGTACAATCACCTGGGGAGTTTAACTTCATGCCTAGACTTAATCAGTTTAATTGGTCTGGAGTGTTAAGTACTGCAGGTGACTCTGATAGGCATCAGGACTGCGAGTTCTAAGAGGGAGTGAGCCTAGAGCCAAGATTCTCAAATCTCAGCATGCCTTAGAATCACGTGCAGGAGCTGGCTGGAGCACAGATCGCTGAGCCCTACCCTCTGAATTTCTGATTCAGTAGATTTGTGGTAGTGCCGAGAATCTGCGTTTCTGACAAGTTCCCAGGTGATGCTGATTGATGCTGATCAGAACCCACACCGGAGCCAGAAAACAACCTCATGCTGCCAGGTGGAGGCTTTGAGTTCTGGCCTGGGGTTACAGCAGTGCTAATGAGGGCAGCAGATACATCTGAGGCATTTTAGAGGCAGGACACGTGGCTCTCCAGGTATTGGTTTGCACGGTTAGTCAGCGATGGCAGCTGGTGTGAGAATAGGCTTGCTGATGTGGCTTTGAGCCTCATCTGCACAGAGACAGAACATTTTGGAGATGGTGTATGTCTGTTTGGATTTCATACAGCTAGAGGTCAGATTTCTTTGCCTTGCATTCCAAACTACTATTGAGTAGAATTCTTAATATAAATCAATGCCATCCAAATGGTGAACTCAATTTACAATGCTTTGGGAACAATTTGCCACTCTTTTCTAAAAACACATTCTGAGTTTTTCCAGATCTGGGTGAAACTTTCCTCCCACTTAAAAACTTTCATCCTATGTTATTCAGCCCGCTTAAGTTTCTCTTGCCAGTGTCCAAACTCAAAAGGAGACTACAGAGTATCATCTCTGAAAGAAACATAGGTCAGCATCGAGGTACCTTTTGATGTGAATTGTGAAGAATTCCAGTAAAAGCACACAGTAGGAGAAGCTGGCTCATGTCGTCACAAGTATACGGTTCTTGCTGAGATAAGCTATGACTAGGGAATTCCTATTTGGGAAAAAGAATGTTCCTTTGAGGCAATTTAGCTACTCCTTCCTCAGAGAAAGTCTAAGCTAAGTAACCACCCTCGAGAAGGTAATATAAATAAGACAGTAAAAGCATTAGCTTTATCCAGTACAGTGCCCTTACAAGTCCAATCCAGTTAGCACATGTTTAAGGCAAGCAAAAATTTTCAATAATGAGTCATGATGATTTAACAAGATAGAGTGTCCTTCAGCCAGCTATTTGGGTCACACAGTGACACCAGATAGGTGATAGAGGGGTGGGGAAAGAGCTCTGGAGCCTACCTGGCAAAAAATCCACACAGAGAAGAGGCTGTATTAGTCCGTTCTCACATTACTATAAAGAACTGCCCGAGACCGGGCAATTTATAAGGCAAAAAGGTTTAACTGACTCACAGTTCCGCATGGCTGGGGAGTTCTCAGGATACTTACAATCATGCTAGAAGGCGAAGGGGAAGCAAGACGCCTTCTTCACAAGGCAGCAGGAGCAAGTAGTGCAAGCAGGGGAAATGCCGGATACTTGAAAAACCATGAGATCTCGTGAGAACTCCCTCATTATCACGAGAACAGCACAGGGGAAACTGCCCCCATGATCCAATCACTTCCCTCCCTCAACAGGCGGGGATTATAATTCGAGATGAGATTTGAGTGGGGACACAGAGCCAAACCATATCAGAGAGAAATGGGGCACATTCCCCAGGTTGGCCTACTCGGCTGCTTTCAAACATACTGGCAATGAGCTGAGAAAGCCCTGAGCATAGGACCTTAAGGATTTGTCTCTCATTATCAACATTCTTGCTTTGTGGGGAATCCAAATGGCAAGCAAGCGTGGCTCCCCAAAAGAGCCAGGTTTGGGGTGCTCTGATTGTGGGTGCATTCATTCATTCACTCATTAGTTCATTCTACAGACATCACTTTACTGCCCATTACATGCCAGGCCCTGTCTAGGCAGGGGTGTGACAGAGACAAGTTAAATGTCAGTGGTTCTTGTCCTCAGGGAAGTCAGAGTCCAGAAACCAGAAAAGATGACTGACCATTTGGTGGGACTGCAATAAAGGCAGATCGTCTGCATTAACAGTTGAAAAAGTGCCACTAGGTTTGTCAAAATGGAAGTTTAAAAATAAATACATAAAAGGTTGGCCCCTCGGTCTGGCTGGCAGACATCAACCTATTGTCAGCAGGTAAGAATGAAGAAAAATCAGCTAATTTTGCTTTTTGATTGCCCAAATTAAATATAAGTGGAAAAGAAAACTTGCCACAAAAGCATCTAAAAATCTTGCATTTAAAAAATAGTCTATAATTAATTAGACCACGGTCCCCCCAGAAATTGATTGTACTAAATAACGAAACATGTCTGTCATGGTCTTAATTCAGAAAAGTAGGCCTGGTGCAGGAGAAAACTGTGAGCTCAGGGAAGTGGGCAGAGAACTTCGAGTAATCAGTGATTGCTAATATTTCCTGGGGGTTTACTATGTACCTGGTACTATTCTAAGCAGTATTCTATATCGTAACTCATTAATC